TGGTCCCAAACTTCGCTAAGCGAAAATCGCCCATAGGAAACATCGTTATGCGAAGCATATTATTTTCTAAAAAAACACATCGTTATGCGAATTCATCGCTAAACGAGGCAATCGTTAAGCGAGGCACCACTGTACTGGCAAACAAACTCAACCCGACTGGCTGGGGAAAAAGTTGGATGAATACATAAATGACAACCAGATCTCCTGGGAGAGATGGTTGTGTGAATTTATTACTAATAGTGGAAAGAGAAAAGCATAAACCATACATGGTTTCATGCTATAAAGCCACAGTGAGGGATCCCAAAGAACTGATCATTATGGATGGAATAACATGTTACAACGGACAAAGTTTGTCTTCAAATGCCAATGCAAGAGGCTTAATGTTTGCAAGGTAGAAGATATATGAAGCCCTTCTCTCCCTCTGCAGAGTCACTCTTTAAGTGAATCTTGTTTGCCAAATAAATTCTGAGTTCATATAGTATGATCTAGTTCTCCCCTAATTATGCAGCAATGAGTACCTAAAACCTTTTGACACAGAAGCCCCCCCCTCCCCAGGAGTAATTGGACATTATATGCCAGATGAGCAGCTAGAGTTCGGGAAAACAAGTACGCGGTTTTCTGTAAGACCCAGTAACTACACAGCTTTGAGAAGTGTCATTCTGTATGTATTTGTTTGTGTGATCACATTTTGCCTAGCTGATAATGAGAAGAGAGGTGAATAGACAGCAGAAGAAGTCTTTTCCCAGACGATTTGGGGAGACCATCTCAATCCTGGACTACTGCAAAACTCAGGAACGGTTCATGAACTTTCACGGTTTCTGCCCAAGTCCACCTGAGTCCTCCCCCTTGATGCTGTGTCAGAGGAGAACAGTCAGTTGATCCGGGCAATCCGGGAAATGGGGCTGACCGAGCCGAGGAAACTGAACATGGTGTTCACCAATTCTGGAAGATCGTATTCGTGTTTCCATCCCCAGTCTTGGCGAGCGTTGCTGTCATCAAAGATCATGGGCCAACTGTCAGCTATTCAAACAGAAAGAGAGAATTAAGATCCTGTTGTGAGCAAATATGCTGCCATAGATATTAGAACTCTTTAGAGTTCGTCAGAAGAGGGCACTTGTCAAACAAGGAAACAGGAGGTGAATCGCTTCACAGGCAGGCTGTACTGAATTTTGTTGACTAATTCAAGAGGAAATTGGACCACCCTGTCAGATCTGGTTTGATTTGCAGTCTTGCCTTGAGCAAGGGGTTGGTCTTGATGGCCTTAGAGGCCCATTCCAACTCTGTTCTTCTATGACAAAGCAACTTTCCCCTTACGAGAGGCCTCATCTTGGGTGAGGCTGCCTGAGTTTTCCTCAGGCATTTTCAGGCACATTTCTAAGGATAAGCTTGTCGTTAGAACATGGCCACTGCCACTTCATCCGAAAGCCACCTCCCTCTTTCTGGACCTTCCCAATACGACCTGTGGAAAGCATCCCAATGTAGACACAGCACACTGTGGATTATGGGAAATGTGGACAAAAACAGTAGTTTTCTAAGTTCTTTTCATGATACAGTGGTGCCTCGACTTATGAACTTAATCCGTTCCGGAGTGATGTTCTTAAACTGAAACGTTCGTAAGTCGAATCAGCATTTCCCATAGGAATGCACTGAAAACCGATTAATCCGTTCCAGCTGTTTTTGTTTGAATGTCGAGGCGCTGTTTGTAAGTCAAAAGCAGTTAATCCCTCCTCTACCACTAGGGGTTTTTTTAAACCTAAGATGACCTAAGGTTAAAAAAGGGCAGGAAAGGATGGCGGGAGGGAACAAACACCTTTTAAACAAAACATCTTTTAAACCAAACCAAGCACCTTTTGAACCAATTTTTATATTTTAAAATTACAGTACCAGGAAGTCCAAAGTCCATTTTGGTTTTTTTTTCGTTCGTAAGTCGAAGCAAAATTTTGTGAACGGAGCTGTTCGTAAGTCGAATTTTTCATATGTAGGGGCATTCTTAAGTCGAGGCACCACTGTATAGGCCAGTGGAGGCCAATCTTTTTTGGCTTGACTGCCCAAAATGAGGGAGTGGGGAAGAAACCAGTGGCTGCCATGCCGCCTGGAAGACCAGAACCAGAACAGGAAGCGGCAGTTTCAGGGGGAATCATGGGGACAGACAGGAAGTTAAAGAGGGAATCATGGGGAAGGACAGGAAGTTAAAGGACCCAGAACAGGAAGAGAAAGGGAGAATCCCAGCTGCAGCCACTTCAAAAGCTTTCTTTCCACAAGGGTGGGTGAGTGGGCTGCTCAGAAGAAAAGGCTTCACGTGCCAGATGTGGCACATGTGCCATAGGTTTGCCATCACTGGCATAGGCATTCATCTTTACTCAGCATAAACCTCTTTGTAACTCATCCTGGATAAGGAAGCCTCCAACGCCCCTCCCATCTATTCTCAGTTGTCCAACAATTGCATTTTGACACCCCCATGGATTTAAAAGGCAGCCCTCAGAATCCTTATGTCTTCCTCTTTGAAAGAACCCTAACCTCTCCCCACAATTGCTTTCCACCGATTAAAAAAACTGACTGAAGAAAGCAAAACCTGACCTGATGCACCTCAGAGCTTCCCCACCCACTCACCCCCCCTTTTTTTTTACAAATTACACCCACCAGCAGCAATGCACCTTAGGAAAATATTTGCTGGGCCTAACTTTGTTCCCCATGTCCTTCTCCCTGTTTATCAACAGCCAAGCAATGATCCTATCCCATCACATCTTTTCACAAAGCCCTGCCAATGGGAACACAAACATGAAGCACAGAGGGGCATGACAAGCCATGGCACAGCGGTTCAACTGCAGTACTGCAGCCAGGACGCTGCTCACAACCTGAGTTCGATCCCGACAGGCTCAGGGTAGCTGGATCAAGATTGACTCAGCCTTCATCTTTCCAAAGTTGGAGGGGGGTTGCAATGTGTAGCCTGCAAAATTAAACTATAAACCGCCCAGAGAATGCTTTAAGAGCTACGGGGCAAGACAAAAGCAGCACACTTTGCTCTTGCTTCTACTGCCACCCAGTCTGTTTTAACACACAGCTGCAAAAAAAAAAAAAAAAAAAAAAAAAGGTACTCACCAATCGCTTGCCTGACGGCATCCACGTTGTACGTCACCTGAAGCTCTGGAACATGTTTCTGAACCTCCTGCACCAACTGCTCTGGAGTAAAACTCATGGCACTGATATTGTACGTCCTCATGCTCAGCCGCTCTGCGGGAGCCTCCATGACCTCCAAGGTCGCTCTCAGGCAGTCGTTGATGTACATCATGGGCAGACGAGTGTCGGGTTTCAGGTTGCACTGGAACTTGCCCGTCTTCACAGCATCGTGAAAGATTTGAACAGCATAGTCTAGCAGAAAAGGAAGTTGCATGTAATCAACGCCATCATAGGCTTTGACTCATTTTCTAGGGCACTGGCTGAAAATGCCACTAAGACACAGAAAGGGATGGCATGATGCCCTCAAAAAGCTGGCGAGAGGTTTATCTGAGAGGCTAGAAGGATCTGGGTTTGGTTCAGGGCCGATGGAAGGAGACTTCAGAGACAGAACAATATATATTTTTATTTATTTTGCGATAAAGAGCCTCAAACGTTGCCTCTGAAGATTAGAAACCCACTTTGAAAGGTCCCTCTACCAACCAAGGAAGCATCAAGACTTCAAGGCATGAGAAAGCATGAAACACATTGACATGGGGACCTTGTAGGAAGTGATTCTAAAATACTATTTTTAAAAGATGTGGTTAGTTGTATTCCAACTGGGTATGATTCTTAAAACCTGGAGCAACATTCTAAAGGGATTAAGGTATAAAGAGCTGAAGACACTAGCTTTCCTCCAGCCGATTTGACAGTCCGTAGTCAGGTGGAAACAAGAAATGGGCGCACAAATTGCCAGTTCGGGGCGGTTCATTTCTAGCTGAACAGCTGATCTACAGTTCAGCGCCCCCCCTCCAGCAGGTGCCCACTCAAGAGGCAGCGCCAGCCTCTGAGTGGCCGTCCGCTGGAGGAGGTGGGGCCCCGAACCACGAATCAGCTGTTTGGCTGAGAAATGAACAGCCCCAAACCACTGAACCAGCAGTCCGTGCCCATCTCTAGTGAAAACCCTGCCCCATGTCAAGAACAATGTAAAAAAATGCCAGTGGCATTTGTTCCCTTACCAGTTGTACCTCCTCCAGGTTGAGTATCAGCTGAAATAATGCCAGGATACCTCAGGCACCGAAAATCTAGGCCGTACCTATAGTGGTAATACTAAAAGCAGGAGAAAAAACATAGTCATTAATAGCATAATAGTTATAACTCTATTTAAGACATACTTAAATACATATTAAATAATAATATTTATATGCCACCTTTCTCCAAGGGAAGGGCTAATTAATTGTGGCTAATTAAAGTTGCAGGGGTATGTCTCGGTTGTATTCCTAGTAATGCATTCAACTGTGCAATTTTAACATGCTCTGGCTGGTTGTCAGATACTATTAGTCCCGCCTGTTTGCAAACTCTAATGAAAAATCGGGGGACTGCTCTTTGCAAATGGCTGATGAAATCTTATACCCTGCTAGTCTTTTAAGGAACCACAAGACTTCTCTGTAGGACTGTTGCTTTGAATCAAAAGTTATCTGCAAGTACCACTCACAGAGTTGCAGTATTAAATTTATTCTTTTAAGGCTTAAGCACCATTCAAACAGCAAACTCAGAAACAAAGTATCTAAAGTTCATTTAGGCAATTCTATATATTTGTTTTACATTTTATGTTGTAAGCCACCTAGAGTGGTCGCAATAACTAGATAGGCGGGGTATAAATTGAATGAATGAATGAATGAATGAATGAATCAATGAATGAATCAATGAATGAATGAATCAATCAATCAATCAATCAATGTCCCTCAAAAACACAAATTCAACAATGTACTTTAGAGTTATCTGTCCACATAGGCAGGAATCAAAAGATGGGGAATTTATTTCAACATCAAGGCCAGATCCAGAAACATTCCAAAGATGGAAAGGACCAAATGCAAAGGAGTGGAACCAGAAAGATGATTTCAGCTGAAAGGTTTCCTTGCCAGCCTTTGGAAAGGAGTGTAGGCTTTCAGAATGGGGGGAGGGACCATATAAAACCAGATTTTTAGTGGTGCCATGGCAAAGCGAACAAGGTCACCTGTGAAACCCCAGAAGGCTAGATTAGGACACTGAGAGGCTCCAGCCTCTGAGGTCCCCTATGTCTGGCACAGACTGAGCAAAAAAATCTGACGGGACCCAAGAGGCCAAGTAAGGCAATGGTGTGATGAAAGGGGATTCTTACTTCTCCCATGAGTTCAGCGTGAACCTTGGAGACCCCATAGATTGTCCTTGGCCGCTGAACGCAGAGGTCAGGCGTCGGGTTCCTCGGGGAGGTCGGTCCAAAAGCCCCGATCGTGCTGGGGACAAAAAGTCGCAAGCCGTGTTCCGCAGCGATATCAAGAATGTTGTGCAATCCTGGGAACAGCAAACAGAGTTATCAGGGCTGCCAACGAAAACACCAAGCACACGCAGCCAAGAAGGGGCTGCTAATCAAACAAGGGTTAGGCAGGCTGACAGTTTACCTGTGATGTTCACAGATCTTGCCAAAGGGACATTGGCTTCCCCGACGGCGCTGAGCAAAGCGCTGTAATGGAACAGCCACGTAATCCGGTTGTTCACCACGATCTCACGAAGGTTCTTGTAGTCCAAGATGTCCGAGTAGATGAATGGACCTGAGAAAAGACTCCATCGATCAGGATTAGGATGATGAAGCTTGGCAAGTCAGGAGTGCACCAATGGGGAGAGCGGCGTCTTTCTTTGGAACAACTATCTGCAGTCTTTCCCATTTAGGATGATGCAGAAATAATGTGCCAGTTCACTGCACCGGCCTCAAGACAAATCCATGCTGACTAAAGTGTGATCATTTGGGTTTTGCTCTTTATCTGGAAAAAGTAAATGTTCAATTTTGAAAAAAAAAAAGTGAAGGTCTTTTCCAATCATATTATTTTACACCTTCCCTGCGGGAGTAGCTGTGTTAGTCTATTTCGCAGTAAAAACAATTAAGAGTCTGTGGTACCTTAACAACTATCTTCACATGGCATCAGGTAGTGTAGTCCATTTCATTACACACATCCAATGAAGTGAGATGCAGGCCTTAAAAGTTTATTTTATGAATTGCAAAAGGAGGTGGCTAACATGCACAACTAAACATGTCTAAAATTTAGAAAAAAAACCCCTAAAATCATGACTATTAAAATAATGATCATAGCCAAAAATCATTAATTATAATACACACCCCCAAAAATATAAAAGGCCACTTTGAAAATATAAGGCTTCACACCCCTTCTGAAAGGGGCCAGAGCTGATTGAAGGAATATTCTGAATGAATTGCATTGTATCATTTTCCCTGCCCCAGCGGGGTGGGGGGGACTTTTAGTTCAGCAAAGTTAAAGAAAAACTTTTAACTCAGCAATGATAAAAAAAAGATACAAAGATATAGTACCAGCCCATAATTAACTTCCTAGTATCTAAGATGAGAAGAATCAAAAGAAGATATAAGGACACCCCCCCCCCAGAACTGGATTTAGAAATTATGCCCTTCTCCCTTTGGGTTCTTCTCTCAGAAAAGAAAAGCAAGCAAAAGAAGCTTCTTTATATGAGGCAGTATAAAATACTCCAAATAGAGAGAGATCTTGTCCAGAGCTCACCACCACTCCTAATGCCGAGAGGAGAAGAAAATGAAGCTTGAGTTAGGACTGTAGACTCTCTCTCTCTCTCTCTCTCTCCGTGATATACTTACCACTGTAGAAGTCCAAGTCAGGGGGCTTTCTAATATCCGAGAGGATCACATTGTTCTTTCCAAAATGTTTCCTAAAGGAAATAGGATGGTTAGCCTTGGGCCATTTCTGTCCCCTTTATTTCAGCTAGAAACTGTTTTGTTCAGGACTTCTTGAAAAGAGTCACTATTGCTTTAAATGCTACATTGCTTAATTTAGCCCCAGTGAAAAATCATGACTCATTTTACTTTGTAGCTGTAAACGAACACGGCAAACCGTGGGAAAAAGATCGGCATGCAAAACTCTTCAAAACTAAACAAGGTTGTTATTCCTGGAAGGGAAGTTAACAATGCTTATAAGCTTACCTCAAGAGCTTAGCAAGCCCGACTCCAAGTTGGCCCAGTCCTCCTGAAAAAGAGGATTAAATGCTAATAGCACCAAAAAATACTATAGAAGATGAACAACCTGAACATCTGTTCTAGACATAGCAGTGGAGAACCAGATGCATAATTCATTCAGAAGAAGCCACCCAAGAAGCTGGGGAGGGCAATGCCTTTTATTAAAGACTTTCACTGATTTAGAAGGCTGGCTGTATTATAAAGAAAAATCAGATATACTGTAAAAATCTTAGGACAGGGACAAATTAAAGCTCTTTATTTAAATTAACGCATTGATTGGTGGGTTTTTAGGGTCAAACCTTAAAGAGGCATACCCAAAGACTAATTAGACTGAGACATGGAAGGACTGCTGAGGTGGTACAGCTCTTTTGCATTATAGATGTAACTACAGCAACCCATGTGGAAACTCTGAATTCTCAGCATCATAAATTAAACAACGGCATAAAAGAAGAAGAGTGCAGAATCGTGTAAAGCTGCCTGTACAAAATATAGTCTCAGAGAAGTGAAATTCTAAAACCTGAAGCAGCAAGGCCCGCCTTGTTCTAACCACACTCCTTCCATCACTTCCTCAGCCCCCATGCCTTGTTCTGAAAGGTCCTTCCGTGGAGTCCGATACTGGTGGATCGGGCCCACGGAGACTGCCGATACACCCCTCTAATCAAGGCGCTATATAGGCTGGTTGTTTCTCTGCTGCAGCATTTATACTTCTGCGGAACAGTCAGCATTACCCATCGGGGGTCTATCAATGTCACACTCTGTGGAGCTGAACAGACTGTTTTTCCATAGGCTTCCCAGCTGGGGCCGTTGCCACAGAAAGAAAGCCATCCGTGAGATGCTCAAGTATGGATGGGGGACCTCTTTCATCTGAGATCCGTCTCTCACCCTGCCTGTTTTCTATCAGGGCCAATCAACCGAGAAAAGATAACTCGAACATCAACTAGAAAGCTTCAGTCAAACACTCATGAAAAGGGGTCAAGTACAATTCTTTTGTCATCGAAGGGACCAACATGAATTTGATCCAACTCCAGGAGGCAGTGGAAGACAGGAGGGCCTGGTGTGCTCTGGTCTGTGGGGTCACAAAGGGTCGGACACGACTAAACAACAAGAACAGCAATTCATCTGCTTCAGAGCAAATGCATAGCTTTGGGAGCACTGTGATTTACTGCAAAGGGGGCTCGCCCTTCCCACCTGTCATTTGCAAGATTTGCAAATCTTCTCTAACACAGCACAAAGTCAACGCGCTAATGGAAAAGCAAGGGTTGTGAGTGAGGATATAATGAGAGGTTCTGCCTTAAATGGAAATCCCCAGTATTCAGCTGGATCCTGAGCAGGGAGGGGCTATAAATTGGTCAACACAGTACTAGCCTTCTTATCTTGCTGTTGAGTCATTACTAGAGGGGGGGGATCCTTGCTTCTAGGACTGCCTCAAGGAACAGTGGCAGATGATCCGTCATGTACAAAAAGAGAAGGAAACAGAAAGTTTAACGAGGTCCCACTGTTATCAGGATCAGATACAAGCAGGGGGCAGCTTGGTTCTCACTGATCAATCTTTGATCTGCAACAGAAGCTTCTGGCTCCCAATCATTACAACTACAGTAGCTTTTGGAAAAAAAGAATGCCTGGGGGAAACCAAGGAGGAGTTTTTCCTGTGTTGAAAGGACTTGGGACTATGGGTTCTGACGCTTCTCAAACCAGCTCCTTGGCTGACCGTGTCTATTCAGAGGGACATCCTATTTCTTAATTCTTAGAATATGACGCCCAGCCTGAGCAACTATTTGACACCTAACTTTGGCAGGCTGGTCTCAGGATCTGTGCTCATCATGAGTTACTATAGTAACCCTCTCAATTACTAGCCTCCCAAAAGTCCTGTACAGTGGGGTCTCGACTTACGAACTTAATCCGTATTGCAAGGCAGTTCTCAGGTCGAAAAGTTCTTAAGTCGAATCTGCATTTCCCATAGGAATGCATTGAAAACCATTTAATCCGTATCTGCTCTTTTCGTCCATAGAAACTAATGGGAAGCTGCTATTCCGCCTTCTGCCACTAGAGGGGGATATTTTTCCTTTTTTTCCTTTTAACCTAAGATGACTTAGCTTTTAAAAAAAAGGAAAAAAAGAGTTCGTAACTCGAATCTAAGTTCGTAAGTCGAGTCCATATATTCCTATGAGAACGGTTCGTAAGTCGAACCGTTCATATGTCGAGCCGTTCGTAAGTCGAGACCCCACTGTATTTAATGGCACCTGTCAAGGCTTTGATTCCTCTACTGAGCCGATTCTTCTCATGCTGTCTTCCTCATTTTTGTACTACCTCCCACTTTTCCTATCATTACTTTCTTTTCCAGGGAGACTTTTCCCCTCTTATGTCTGAAATACAACACCCTCAGTTTAGTTGTTTCGGCTTCTAGGGAGAAATCCGGTTATTTTTCACCTAGAATTCGTTGATTTAACTTTCAGGGTTCCCGTAAGACACAAAGTGGTATGACTGACCTGTAATTAACACCCGTGGATGATCAGTTTCGGAGAAGGATACGGAGTGAAAGCTGGCGTCTGAGGTTACCTGCCGTGGAGAGAAACCAAGACACCTGACGGGCAGGATGGCAATCTGACAGCCGCAGCCAGGTTTCTGCAACACCTGCTTGACAGCTCGGCTCAAGTTCCTGATGGCTGGCATTTTTTTTTAAAGAGAGCTGAAAGAAAAAGATAAGAGGAGAAAAGGTTACTAAAGTTGCTCCACCCAGAAAAAGTATTAAAGCAGAGCTGGCATCTAAAGTGGTAGCAAACCACCCACTGACTTCGTTGACCACAAGAAAGACAATGTGTGAGTTCTTTGCAGTAAGGCATCTCCTTTGCACTTAGAAGATCACAGAGTCCTTCCCAAACATTAGCATGTTCTATGACTGGCAAACCCACCTATCATGGACAATAAAGCAGGAATATGCTTGATTGCATATGTGTGTACATGCAGGATCTCCCTCCAGATCTGGATGTGACCAAACATTTACCTCTAGTTTAGAAGGGGGTGGGGCATGCTTTGACGATTTTTTTTAAAAAAAATTAATTTATTTTTATTTTTATTTGCATAAAGAAAAGCTCCATGCCTCACTCTTAAAGAGAATGGATTCTTCGGGAATCTTCTCCCGCAGTCATCTTCTTTGTTTTGGACAACACGGAATTCTTCCTGGTGGCATCAGTGTGGGTGTTTATTTGGGGTGGGGGCTATAAAAAACACCCCAAAGCAGAAAACACCTGCCCTAGTAGGATGCTGCCAGTCCATGCTGACAATACAAGGGCAGATTGACCAACTGGCTAATTTCTACATGCTCAGACTTTCAACCTGTCATTGCCTGGTTGAGAGATGGCTGGACCATCACACAGCTAGCACAGGAGGCTCCTAGCAACATTTTCTAACCCAGTAAATAAAATTTGCTCCAGGGTTATAACTGTTATACAGAACTAGTATTAAAGTGCACCATTCATGGGGAGCAAATACTACATGTCCTTCCCACAGACCCGAGCCATTCTGCACTCTTTGGCTTATTCCCTCAACGCCTGCAAGTGCAGGAAGAAGGAATAGAACAAGCTTAAGGTAACAACAGGTATATGGGATATTTATGGGGAAGAGACCCCCTGCACACACAAACATACAGACATTATAACACCACCCAATCCAGAAATGCCCTGATTTCATTCCTTACTGAAATACGTATGTGCTATGGAGAAGCATCGCCTTGCAGGAGTCACATTAAATCTACGTTTCACTTTTCAGCTTACAGTCACGCTTTGCACACCCTACGTAAATGCAGTTAAGTTTAGCTCGACCGAGGGAGAACTCCGCACATTTATTTGTCCAGGACAAGACTGACGCCATGTCAACAATTATTTACTTATAGCACAATATTCAATTACTGCAGTGTCCATGTGATTAAGTAACATAGCTATCATGCATTTCTGCAGTTCTAGGGGAAGAGCCTTTTAAAGCACACAACAGCCAAAATTAGCACACTTCTTGCTAAACCTGCCCATTGTCAATCTTCTGCAGGTGTTCAGGAATCCAACTGAAGATTCAGATGACTGCTAAAATTATAGGATTATTTTCTCACAGGTGTGCAGTGAACAAATAAGCATTACCTATGCTACCATATGGCAATAATTTCCCCACAGATACTCCAACCTAGAGCTCTGCCCATCGTAATTTTGCATTAGTATATCCACAGAAGGGATTTCGAGTAAGTTGAATTTTCATAGAGATAACCCCCTTAAATCTAACCTTCACCAAGATCAGCGTCTGTGTAATCAGCAAGCTATATCTGCAACCTGCGCCTATAATTCTGCTCTTGCCCCATTTAGAGAAATTTTATTTATTTTTCCCACCATAAAAATACCTACTTTTTTTCTAGAAGGCAAGTCTCGGCCTGCCTCCCTCCCCCAGATGCTAAGGTAACACAACATACTTTCGGTCTCAGCTTACCTTCCTTTCCGGCAGTTGCTTTGAAAAGCAAAAGGAAGAGGGGCATTTATAGGGCACAGCCTCCCTTGCTGAGCCAATTGGCATTCAAAAGGCAGTGGGTGTTGCCCATTACGCAGAAAAGGGTGTGCATGTGTGCTCATGGCAGATGGACACATCAGTTTGTTTGATTTAGTAATCTGCAGAGCTGGAAATATAACAGTCTCACCCAGGAAGAGGCAGAGAATTTTGAAGACAACAATTGAAAGGGTGTTTTTCCAGTGCAGGGCACAATTGCATGGATGACTGGGCTTATAATTTATTGTCTCTCTCCTCCAACAGCAGGAGGCTAAGCTAACACATACCGTTCGGCTCCCTTTCCAATAGAGGTCTCAGAACCAGTGTGGTTTGATATGTACATTTAAGAGTTGCAAAACAAAGAACTGCAGGCTGGATTCTAAAAAGACAGAGAAACCCAACATATAAAGCGTGCTGCTTTTATAACACCCCCCCCTCCAAAAATGCTTACAGCACTTTCTGGGCAATTTTACAAGTTAATTATAGTTAGTTAGGCATCATTCAGTCTCGAGAGACGATGGTCACGTGCTCTGTATGGAGGACTTGGAACAGCGTCTAGTGTGGCTGAGAAGGCCAATTTGAGAGTGATCATGCCTTTGCAGATCTCCTTGTATCGCAGCTGGGGTCTCCCTCTGGGGCGATTTCCCGGCACTCATTCTCCATACAGGGAGATCTTTTGGAATCCGACTATCAGCCATTCTCACGACATGCCCAAGCCAATGTAGACATTGCTGTTTCAGTAATGTATACATGCTAAAAATTCCAGCTCTTTCAAGAGCTACTCTATTTGGAACTTTGTCCTGCCAGGTGATACCAAAAATGCATCGGGGGCAACGCATATGGAAGGTGTTCAGCTTCCTTTCCTGCCGTGCACAAAGGGTCCAGGACTCACTGCAGGACAGGAGTGCGCTCAGGACACTCTCTGGGCAGTTTACAATTTAATTATGCAGTTTAACATTACTTTAATTTCAAGCCTTGCCAGCCTGTGAACAAATAAAACCTGCTGTCAGTGTCTTTAAGGCAAATGGCCAACAGCAGGGTACATAATTGTTGCCCACCACCACCACCAGGGTACTACCGAGTTTACCGACCTTGGAGGGCTAGAAGGCGGAGTAAACTTCAAGCCAGCTACCTGAGTCCTGGATTGAACTCTGCTTGTGAGCAGTCTCTTCACTGCAGTAATTCAATTTAACCACTGTGCTACGACAGGGCTCCTATATGCCAAATCACACAGCTGGTAATCTCAATACACTTAGAATCATAGATAAATTAAGTTAGAAGGGGTCTACAAGGCCATCAAGTCCTCTCTGGCCTCTCACTCCCATGTTGGCCAGGCTTAAACACAAATAAACAGACAATAAAGATGATTCACGATTAATAGATCAATCTACAATCAGTTACAACTCAGGTACACAAGGCACACCAATTTGCAGGCAAAACATATTCATGAAATACAATACAAGAATAAAGCCGCCCCCAAACCATCTTGGCCTAAAGAAAAGCTCTCCCTTCTGACAAATGCGATGATCAACCAGGACGTAAACACTCACAACTGTAAACATCCTTAGGTATATTATATTTTTATTTCTATGCAGATGTGGCTGCAGTCCAGGCCTGTCCGGAGAACGCGACTGTGCTGCTCTAAAATCCAGTTGCATTCCCCACTATTGTAGCATACACAGTGTCCCACTTTACTGCCAAAGCGAAATGTGGCATCTCATTGCCCTCACAAACACTGCTCTACATAGGACTAGAAAAATAAATATTTCCAATTATTCCAACTATTCCAGTCGCACAGAAAACAGTCACTGCTTAGTTTATCTTTCACAACAAACACAGGTTGGTCGAGTGGACTGAGGGGTCGCGAGTGGCGAACGTCACCCATGAGATTCTCTCTATGTTAAAGATGTCTAAACCAGTCCTGATTAAGTCTTGTATCCAGGGCACCAGGAAAACTAAAAAAATAGAAGTTTTTTTTTCCAGGCAGCACCAAATCTAACACTACTATTTACAACCACAGAGGATCTTGGAACACAACTTTTCTCCTTAGGCAAAACGTATACTCTTAAGTACACGAAAACTGATGCAATCTCGTGTTACTTTAATTTCAAGCCTTCCCAGCCCACAAACAAATAAAACCTGCTGTCAGTGTCTTTAAGGCAAATGGCCAACAGCAGCAGCAATAAGGAAGGCCATATGGTTTTGTGTGTTATTCATTAATGCTGCACTTTTAAGGAGGAAGAAATACCAGCGGCGTGGAGAACCATTAAAGACAGATATATCTAAAGGGACATGGCTGGCCGGTAGCTAAATGAGGAATCCTCTCCGGCTGTATCGTGAGAGACCACCAAACTGACAGAGCGACTTTCACACCTGCGAAGTATACAAAATTCTAAGAAGTATATATAAAGGGAGAGCCCTCCGGCTTCTGCATCAATGGCACAAAATTGAGGTGATAAGGAACTTTATGGCTTTGGATTGTAGAACAGCAAGTTCTTCAAGATTCTGGCACTTTGTTAAAAGAGAACATTTTAAAAAAATCAGAAACTAGTATGGAATGATGTTAATACTATATAGCTCCCCATAACTAGCCTTATATAGGGAAGCTTAGAGCCACACTTATTTTCTCCACATGCGTTTTCGACACAAATCGAAGGGGACACCCTCTTAAAGGTGTCACATTCGAGTTGAAAGAAAAATAGAAGTCTCCATTGACCTACAGTGCATTGAAAACCGATTAATTCTGTAACAGGCCGTTTTTGTTCCATTTTGGCTTTTTCTGGTCTGTAAGTCAATTCTCAGGCTGCAAGTCAAACCTAAATTTTGCGGCCAGAGAAGTCTGTAACTCAAAAAGTCTGTAAGTCAAGCCATCTGTAAGTCAAGGGTCCACTGTACAATCTTAGGCAGAGTTATTCATGTCTCAAACTGTACTGTCAGAGCCCCCTCACCGGGAGAGAGGCGGCCTACAAATGACGACTGATCAATCTTCAAATGTAAGTGTCATCCGGTTCAAGAGGTCTTGCCCGAGATAAAGTAGAAAAAATTTTTTGCAGCCCATCCCATGTCTTTTTTAACAACATGTAAGGAATAGCTAAACATCCACTACTACAAACAATAGGATTTAATACACTGGATTTTATTATTAATCTTTTGGCAACGGCACAG